TGGAATGGTCATGTGCAAAATAAGTTTGAAACCTAGAAGGATCTAGGAGAGGGAAGATGGTAGAATATTCTAGGGAATCTCCCCTAAGAATATCACATGTCAATATTCTCTAGAATAATCCTAAGATGCCTATAAATAGGACATTTGGGNCAGTTACAACTGCAACAATCGAAAGAGCATTTTCAGCGATAAAAGTTGACTATGCAACTGAATGGGAGATCAATGGATGAATGATTGCTTGACTGCATATATTGAGAAAGAAGTTTCAAATACCATGGATAATGAAATGATCACATAACGCTTCCAAAATATAAAAAATTATTGGGAATAACTGTAATATTCCGTTCTATTTTGGCAAGGAACTAGTTGGGGAATATTATCTTAGAAAGAAAAAGAAAAATTTTTAAAGAAGAATTTAGAATAGTCTAGAATAATCTAGACTATTGGAGAAGTTCCTAGAAAAATTTAGAATAGTCTAGAAGATTTTAGAAAGTTCAAGAATAAACTAGAATACTCTAGAAGAATCTAGAATGTTGAAGAAGTTTCTAGAAGAATCCAAAAAGTTCTAGAACAATCTAGAGAAGTCTAGAATATTTTAAAAGGTTCTAGGAAATACTAGAAGGTTCTAAAGGGATTTAGAATATTCCGAAAGGGCTTAGAAGGTTGGAAAATACTTTAGAATATTATAAATAAATCTAGATACTTGTGGAATGGTCATGTGCAAAATAAGTTTGAAACCTAGAAGGATCTAGGAGAGGGAAGATGGTAGAATATTCTAGGGAATCTCCCCTAAGAATATCACATGTCAATATTCTCTAGAATAATCCTAAGATGCCTATAAATAGGACATTTGGGAATTGGATTAAGATACAAGTGCACAAGTAGTCTTCCACTTTCAAGAAAGAATAGAGAGTAAAAGAGAGAAGAAGCAAGGAAGAGCACCTCATCAAAGGAGAAAAGAAATTGTGAGAAAAAGAGAAAAGACATCATCTCACTCTACTTCAGGTAACAAGCAACACTCAAGAAGCATATCATTTAGATTTGAGGTGAGTGATTTGGCATGCTACGTATTTTTAAAAATTTCCCGTATCCCTAAATATTTTAAAAACAATACATCATGCTTGTTCATTACTACCTTTACNCCTAGAATACTCTAGAAGAATCTAGAATGTTGAAGAAGTTTCTAAAAGAATCCAAAAAGTTCTAGAACAATCTAGAGAAGTCTAGAATATTTTAAAAGGTTCTAGGAAATACTAGAAGGTTCTAGAGGGATTTAGAATATTCCGAAAGGGCTTAGAAGGTTGGAAAAGACTTTAGAATATTATAAATAAATCTAGATACTTGTGGAATGGTCATGTGCAAAATAAGTTTGAAACCTAGAAGGATCTAGGAGAGGGAAGATGGTAGAATATTCTAGGGAATCTCCCCTAAGAATATCACATGTCAATATTCTCTAGAATAATCCTAAGATGCCTATAAATAGGACATTTGGGAATTGGATTAAGATACAAGTGCACAAGTAGTCTTCCACTTTCAAGAAAGAATAGAGAGTAAAAGAGAGAAGAAGCAAGGAAGAGCACCTCATCAAAGGAGAAAAGAAATTGTGAGAAAAAGAGAAAAGACATCATCTCACTCTACTTCAGGTAACAAGCAACACTCAAGAAGCATATCATTTAGATTTGAGGTGAGTGATTTGGCATGCTACGTATTTTTAAAAATTTCCCGTATCCCTAAATATTTTAAAAACAATACATCATGCTTGTTCATTACTACCTTTACAAAATATTTTCCTAAGTGTCTAAATACTTGTGGCATACGATTTTCTTACTTTGATAAATTCTTTTGTGAAGTATTGTGACTCAATCATTTGTTTATATGGTGAGACTTTGTGATAGTGAATGGGACCATGATTCAAAGTCCAAAGAAATTATTCCTCTGTGTGCGGATGACCCTGACTACTAGGGAACAGACCCGGGGGAGGCTGAGGTGACTCTAGTGCTCAATGGTTGAAGGAACAATTCTTGGTGCATCCTGGTGACCTTCACCAGATCGTCTTAGGGAACAATTCCCTGGCGACAACCCGTGGTGACCCTAAATACGATGTTGGATCCAACCCTGAGATATATTCTGGTATTTTGTACTAAAAGTCCAGGAAAATTATTCTTCAGTGTGCGGGTGACCCTGGCCATTAGAGAACATACCTGGGGGAGGCTGAGGTGACCCTAGTACTCAACGGTTGAAAGAACAGTTNGAAAGACATCATCTCACTCTACTTCGGGTAACAAGCAACACTCAAGAAGCATATCATTTAGATTTGAGGTGAATGATTTGGCATGCTACGTATTTTTAAAAATTTTCCGTATCCCTAAATATTTTAAAAACAATACATCATGCTTGTTCATTACTACCTTTACAAAATATTTTCCTAAGTGTCTAAATACTTGTGGCATACGATTCTTCTTACTTTGATAAATTCTTTTGTGAAGTATTGTGACTCAATCATTTGTTTATATGGTGAGACTTTGTGATAGTGAATGGGACCATGATTCAAAGTCCAAGGAAATTATTCCTCTGTGTGCGGATGACCCTGACTACTAGGGAACAGACCCGGGGGAGGCTGAGGTGACTCTAGTGCTCAATGGTTGAAGGAACAATTCTTGGTGCATCCTGGTGACCTTCACCAGATCGTCTTAGGGAACAATTCCCTGGCGACAACCCGTGGTGACCCTAAATACGATGTTGGATCCAACCCTGAGATATATTCTGGTATTTTGTACTAAAAGTCCAGGAAAATTATTCTTCAGTGTGCGGGTGACCCTGGCCATTAGAGAACATACCTGGGGGAGGCTGAGGTGACCCTAGTACTCAACGGTTGAAAGAACAGTTCTTGGTGCGTCCTGGTGACCTTCACCAAATCGTCTTAGGGAACAGTTCCTAGGCGGCAACCCGTGGTAACCCTAAGTACGATGTTGGATCTAACCTTGAGATCTTTTGGCATTTTATATAGTTCCCAGATATTGTACAAGTCCTTACCAGTATGAGATGATGATATAATTTGTNATGAATGGGACCATGATTCAAAGTCCAAGGAAATTATTCCTCTATGTGCGGATGACCCTGACTACTAGGGAACAGACCCGGGGGAGGCTGAGGTGACTCTAGTGCTCAATGGTTGAAGGAACAATTATTGGTGCATCCTGGTGACCTGCACCAGATCGTCTTAGGGAACAATTCCCTGGCGACAACCCGTGGTGACCCTAAGTACGATGTTGGATCCAACCCAGAGATATATTCTGGTATTTTGTACTAAAAGTCCAGGAAAATTATTCTTCAGTGTGCGGGTGACCCTGGCCATTAGGGAACATACCTGGGGGAGGCTGAGGTGACCCTAGTACTCAACGGTTGAAAGAACAGTTCTTGGTGCGTCCTGGTGACCTTCACCAAATCGTCTTAGGGAACAGTTCCTAGGCGGCAACCCGTGGTAACCCTAAGTACGATGTTGGATCTAACCTTGAGATCTTTTGGCATTTTATATAGTTCCCAGATATTGTACAAGTCCTTACCAGTATGAGATGATGATATAATTTGTTATTGTCACAACGTTTTTACTGGCTTTGTTTATGATTATCTATCGTATGCCATACGTATTTTCTTGTTGTCAGTTATTGTATTTGGTATTTGGTTCCCATCGATTATTGGATATCGTACAGTCTCCACCATTATGATATGATTTACCGTTGTGGTATGATTTCTTGTTGAAACCCGATTGTGTTATTCTTGAGAAATTAGTTATCTTGATGAAATTATTTTTCCAAATATTTGATTTACATGTCGTATGCCAAATATGTTTTTCAGCCACTTTGAATATGCATGTCTTTCCATTCACTGGACTTTTTAACTCATGTTTTTAAAATAATATTTTTTCTAGGTAAACGATTGGAGTGTCAATAGCGGACTCAGGAAATTGATTGGGACTAATAGTGTTGTGACCTCTATAGCATATATCATTTAGCTATCTTTACTTATTTGGATAATTGGGACAAACAGGTTTAGGTATGTTAACTTTGACATATTGACATGAGATCAATTTAGTGTTAATGTTGTTTTCCACTCCTATATTATTAGTTTATTGTTAGGCTTACGTGTTCTATAGGTTATGGATCTATGGTTCACGGCCGGTCATGCCCTTGGAGTTAGGGTGTGACAATAACCATGAGGATCTATAGGATGTTCGAGAATTTGATTTTTTCCATGTATAGACTCAATATGTTATCGAGCACTATTCTTTTGGTACAAAATTTTTTTGTTAGGTTGTGTTGATAACTTTATAGTGAATTTTTTTTAGCTTTTTTTGTATATCGCTCATGTACACTTTTAATAGGTGTCCTTTTAGTGAAACTATACTTTTGCGAACATCTGGAGTTTGGGTGTTGATATGGTTTAGGTTGCCCTCGCTACAAATGATTTCGGCTCCAACCCTGCCTTCACCTCTCCTTTCTTTTCTTTCACTCTCTTTTTCTGGTCTACATTCATCAGGCTTTCCGCCGGGCAACATCAGTGTTCGTGCAGCTAATGGCTATTGATTCGAGCTGAGGNTGGCTCCAACCCTGCCTTCACCTCTCCTTTCTTTCTTTCACTCTCTTTTTCTGGTCTACATTCATCAGGTTTTCCGCCGGGCAACATCAGTGTTCGTGCAGCTAATGGCTATTGATTCGAGCTGAGGTAATTGATTTTGGTTTTTTTTCAGATTTGACAATTCAGCTTGGTCCATTTTCTTCTGATGTGCATATTGTACCGCAAATGGGCAAATCTTCAGTTTGTATGAAAGTGCATGCATTTCTCAATCAAATGCTTGAACAGTATGATTGCATTACATTATAACATGGACAACACATAAGAAAAATATAATTATAGCAGTCAAATGGAAGTACACTTGATTATCAATAATCAGGGAAAACACAATAGACAACCTATTATGTATTCACAAACCATGTGTTTTCTTACCCATGTGCCATACAGAGGTTGGAGATTGAAATATTATGAGATGTGTAGAAATATTGATCTAACACTCTCCGTTCAGTTCTATCTGCAATGGGAAGGAGACTGAAGATTGCACCACCATGATTGTTTATCACAAGAATGGTCATTGGTTTCCGCTGTATCCTTCAAACATAATACATTGTATTACAATTGAGAACTGAGGTTAGATGATGGGCCTTTCGCTAACACATATGATACTACAACAATTATATTATGTGATTAAAACTGACAGAAAATGGAGCAACCACCTATTTTGGTATGCCAAAAAGCAAAAAAGAGAAAACAATAAAAACGGCCAATAGAAGGCCAGACAAACTTCTTTAACGGAAAATTCTGACATGAGTTTGTGATGATTAGTATTTAAATTTTTAAGTTGTGGCCATTCATATCCCGAAATATCTCAACAGTCATTGATAAAGTTTAGTTGACATGGCATTTGGTGTTAAATGATTTCCTTTCATGCAAAGATGATAAAAGTTTGTATAGCAAACAATGATATATGTGTTTTATCGATATGGGTTTGGCAAAACAAAATAATAATGAGGGCTATGAAACTAAAAGTTCTCAAGAAATCATATCTGCAATAATATAGTTGTGTTCTGCATTTTGTTTGGCAAGGCAATGCTTCTCCATGCAAGTATGCATAGATGATATCTCACAAATCACAATGTACAATATAAGCATAATTATGCACTGTAAGAGCATCAAGATATATTAATAGAACTCGTTACCGTTGTTTGAGCAATGCCAATCCATTTGTATCGTGCAAAAAAGAAACATCTCCAACCATACAAAGTACCTGAACATAACCAAATAGGTGTCACCCCATGTAATTTCATCATTTTGAGTCATATTAAGAAACATCAGCAAGCTAAAGGTAAGCAGCAATCAACTTGAACAGATTATTGAAAAAAAAAAGATCCGATAACAGATAGAGAAAAGCCAAAAAGATAATCGCATGTCAAAGGTTGGAAACAAATATAAAATCATTAAGTATATCTTTTGTGAAATGTTCAAGGAAACAAACAATAGGAAGAATCATGGATTGGAAGCAATAAGACTGGTCCATTAATTGAACAATACATTCAGTGCATCGACGGAGTTCTTGTAAACGGAAACAAATATACAAGGTAAACTCACACTCCATAGCATGAAAATGAGTTCAGTTACCATCCAGTATAAAAAATGGTCTCAACTAGCATACCAATATTTCATTCATCACCAGTACAAGTTTTTAAGAAAAACAACACAAAAGAAACCAGGCATTTGGATAATCACACTTGATGGAACAGTTCAAAAGCTAATAGAAGCACAGATCTAAAAATAAAATTTATAAGTAAACCCACTTAAAAATCGTGATTAGCAAGTAAGCTCATAAAAAAAGTTTCTTTAACAAATATATGTTCAGCTACTCACTCGTTTGTTGCATCCAACAGCAAAACCAACAGCTGTGCTAAGCAAACCATCGATACCACTTGCTCCCCGATTCCCAGCCACCTGTATCCAGTGACATGTTAATCCTGAGCCTGATTTCATAGCAGAACTATGGGTACATTTTGCCCAGTTACATCCATATATGTCAGCATCACGTATTGGCATGCTGTTTCCGATAAAAATAGCAGACTCGCACTGAAGCGCTTCAAAAATTACACGTGCAACATAAGGTTCAGTCAAGGAGTACTCGGAATGGATCAGAAGTGATATCTCCCACGCAGCCTACAAAATAGAGTAACAGAATTCTAAAAAGCATGCAGAGAAAGGAAGAGAAGTGACAAACAGCAGACCTACCGATCAAGTCTAGTTCCAGGACTAAAAGTGTCAGAATAGAAACCCAGTATTGAGACCCTAAGTGAACTGGAATCCATTTAACAAACCAGGTAGAAATTAAACATAGCCTCCATGCAAAGGAGCCTTTCAAAAATGTGAACTGTTGAAGAAAGTGATTGGAATGTGATGAAGGGAGAAAGAGGCATAGGAAAATGCCAATGAATATATTTCCTAATGTTCCATCAATCAATACATGAGCTCTATACGAGCATATTCTAATAGTGTGTTACTTTTTACAATGAATTCTAAGATCATGGTTTCATACGAGGATCAAAATATCGTTTCGAAACGGTCGAAGCGTTCGAAACGTTTCCATTTCCAAGGAGACCGAAACGAAACAATGATAAAATCGAAATTTTGATATTTTGAGGTATTCCATAATGTTTTTAAAGGTATTATATTATTTCAATACATTTGCACAATTGTTTTGGAATGTTTCAAGATATTTTGATATATTTCTATCAATGTTTTAAAAAACTAATTCTTGAATTTTTTATTTTTTTCATTATGTCTCCGAAACGGGTTGAAACGTTTATGAAATACGTCGAAACGTTTCCGTTTCCTAAGTGACCGAAACAATATACTGAAACGATATTTTGATTCTTGGTTTCATACGAGACAATCTGATTTTTGAAGTGTATTCTTCCTTTGATACAGTTATACTTTTAGCTGATCAACACAATTTTGCATTTTCTTCAGTTAGCCACTTAAAATCTCCCTTGAAAATACACTACCTTTATTTTGCAGATTCATAACGTTGAACCAGTTACTAATACTAAAGGGAAAGGGGGAAAAGAACCCCTTAAGCCACNTTAGCTGATCAACACAATTTTGCATTTTCTTCAGTTAGCCACTTCAAATCTCCCTTGAAAATACACTACCTTTATTTTGCAAATTCATAACGTACGTTGAACCAGTTACTAATACTAAAGGGAAAGGGGGAAAAGAACCCCTTAAGCCACAATTATAAAGCACGCATTATCACTAGGGCTATTAATCGAACTGAGCTACTCGAGTTCGGCTTGTTTTGGGCTTGTTCGAGCTCGTTCAAATATCGTAAATAAGCCAAGTATAAACACATTTTTAGGCTTGTTTATAAACAAACCGAGCTGAAACTTGAATTCGAGCTGCTTGACAGGCTTGATTAAGTTTGATATCTTTTACCTAGTTTTACTATTAATTTTTAGTGGTCCAATTATAGCCGTCNTTTTGGGCTTGTTCGAGCTTGTTCAAATATCGTAAATAAGCCAAGTATAAACACATTTTTAGGCTTGTTTATAAACAAACCGAGCTGAAACTTGAATTCGAGCTGCTTGACAGGCTTGATTAAGTTTGATATCTTTTACCTAGTTTTACTATTAATTTTTAGTGGTCCAATTATAGCCGTCCATTCTAAATCCCTACTGAAATCCAACGGTGAGGACATGATCTATATTAACCTGTCTAACCCTAATACACCCCAAACCCAAATCTGAAGGCGCCGTTCTCCAAAGCCCGAAGCAATGAAGCCTCAAGGCCCTCAACTCCATCTCTCGTCTACCAAACTCCATTCTCCGGTGAAGCCTCAAGGCCCTCAACTCCATTCTCCGGTGATTCTTCGTCTCAACCCAAGATCAGGTGGACAGATACAACCCACAATCTCTCTCGTCCATTTCTCAACCCAAGTTACTCTGTTTTGTGGCTGCGTCTGGTGATGTTTTGCTGCTTGATGGCTGTTTTTCGGTGATGTTTGTTGCTGCTGCTTGCTGGATGTTGCTTCATTTTTCTACTCAAGTTTGATGTCCAGATATTGTAAAATTTTGGTGATGTCCAGGTACAACCCACAATCTGTTCAGTGGATGTGCATTTTTCTGGTGTTAAATTTGTTAAAATTCAAGCCCGTACGCAAGCCTGAATTCGAATTTTTGGATCAAGCTTTATACGAGCTAGAGCTCGGATTTGAGCTTGTTAACGGAAACAAGCCTAATCAAGCCAAGCTTGAACTTTTTTTTTTTTTTTGTCAAGNTGAATTCGAATTTTTGGATCAAGCTTTATACGAGCTAGAGCTCGGATTTGAGCTTGTTAACGGAAACAAGCCTAATCAAGCCAAGCTTGAACTTTTTTTTTTTTTTGTCAAACCGAGCTCGAGCTCAAAAATAAGCTTGATGATCGAGCTCAAACCGAGCTTGAGCAGCTTCCCAAAATGTCAAGCCGAGCCTGAACATGGTGATGCTCGTCGAGCTTGGCTTGATTATCACCCCTAATTATCACTCCACTCAATTTAGGGGTTTGGACTTATGGAGTTCTTCTACTTTAACATGCAGCCTATTCGCTTCTTTCCATATGCACCACAAGAAATCCAATGAATTCCACAGCTCCTAGGCCTATCTTAGCCACTAATGTTCCCTTAACTGAATTTTTCATACATCAACATCACACAAGCAAGCTTGAACAAAGAAAAAAGGCTCCACAAATCTCGAGCAACATGTAGGCCACCAAATGGATAACACACTTCTCTGCCTAGTTTCAAGGAATCAAGCTTCTGTGTTTATTAACTAGAAGTTAATGATGATATTATGTTGAAAAAAATAAAGAGAAAGAAACACTTCACATTCTTATTTCACTTAACAACCATCAAAATCAACTGGAATCACTTGCTCAAAGCTGAGACAAGTATAACTATTGCACTGTTTGGAGGATTGAACAAAGTCATATAACTCAATAATGGATTGAAACCACAAATGTTATGCCACATCCACTATCAAATCACTACGCACAACCAAATGCACAAACCAATGATCAACATTTCGTTTTGAAACATCTGAAACATTTCTGTTTCTAAAGAGACCAAAACGAATGGAATCAAAGTTCTAATACTTTGAGGTGTTTCATAATGTCTCGAGGTATTTTGTAATGTTTCAATGCATTTGCACAATTGTTTCAAAATGTTTCAAATTATTTTGGTATATTTCGACAAATATTTTAGAAAAAATAATTATTAAATTTTTTACTTTATTCCCTATGTTTCCGAAACGGATCGAAACATTTTTGTTTTCTAGGTGACTGAAACAATGTACCGAAACAAAATTTTGATCCTTGGCACAAACATAGACTTATCAATCTTGTGAAGACCAACCAGGTAAGGAATTGCAAGATACATTATAAGCACGATATAGCTTTATAACTATTCAACTTAGTATATTACACTTATGTAACTATCCTATATATGACTGGGCTTTTCCTTTACTATCAATCTATAAATTGCTCTCATCCTCTACACAAAAAATGGAACCAGAGACCATCTTGGGTTATTTCAAACTAAGGTTTTTGATTGATAGCTGTGTATGATCCGTTTCCAATCTCCACTCATGGATCTATTCATATGGGCACAGCAATTTCATCATTAGCATTTCCCCAAAGGAATTACAAAACTCACCAAGGCTTTGGCTGCATTTCATTAGAATCTTGCAACATTTTAGAGGCTTGACTTGATTCTTTATATGGGTTTCATATCTTAACCATCATTCTTCAAATCTTCCCTGAATAAGCTTACTCTGCATAGGTTAAGAACAGTAACAAAAAAATGCATTTTTTAACTTATATTAGTTTGGTTAGCCTACATTCATCACTATGTAGTACCAGTGCTATTAAAAGCACGACTAGGCAAGAAGCCATTCTAATGCTCCAGCTGATAGATTAGAACAACGAATGTTTTTGAAAAGCNACTATTAAAAGCACGCCTAGGCGAGAAGCCATTCTAATGCTCCAGCTGATAGATTAGAACAACGAATGTTTTTGAAAAGCTTAATTGTTGTGTTAGACAACTAGTTCTCTAATAAACAAGCAAGATTCATGTCACCAATGTCGCTCAGTATCTCTCAGCATCTTTTGATATGGACACACTTATGCATTGGAATATTTCTCACAGTGTTGTTCAGCATATTTCAGCATCTTTTGATGTGGACTCACTTATCCATCACCATATTTTGCCCACTGCCTTTTCAAACAATCAATAGTGAAGTAAACCAAGTCTATAATCACTTCTCTTGTCTTTTGGCCATGTCATTGCCATGATTCATGAATGTGTGACGGGGCAATACATTCTAAGAAGGATAATTCCAAAGTCCACCTTAATAAGTGTTAGTTAAAGCATCCAACCAAATCAATTGGCTATGCGTGGAATAGCCCCTCAAGTATATAACCCAACTTTAGGCGCACTTAATTTTTAGACATGGAATACAAGCTCTCTTCACACATGGGCTAATAAATTGAACTGAAACCAACAATAAACATACTGGAACTAAGCTAAAACAAACTGATAAACATATCAAAGAATTCAAGTAGGTGAGAGACTTGGCCTACTAACAACCCAAGGCCCAACTCTGATATCATGCTAGAGCGTATAACCCAAATCCAATTGATTATGAGAGAAGTAACCTCTCAAATATATAAACCAACCTTGGGTGCACTAAATTTTGCGATGTGGGATACAAGCTCTCTTCACAATAAAGAAATAGCATATTAGAAATAGCTTAGCTAGTACCTCTAGCCCTCGTAATATTTGTTAAATAGTATCTAGTCATTCAAATAATAAGGTGGCAAGTTTTGCATGACATGTACAGGTGTTTCGTCAATAATAGCTGCCACATAGTTTGTGTGGTAAGTGGCAATGGCATGCAGGACTTGTTAATAAAAATGATGTATGCTTTAGCTTATATGAGGGAAGTGACGAAGTGGCCCCAACTTATCTACTAACAGAGATGTCATAAAAGCAACATAAAATTAAGGAAATGTGTAGAAGTTTGATTTGAACTTCTGCATCTGCTAATAGTGGAACCAACAAAGTTGTATTCTAGAATTAACTCTTCCATAACATATCCCTACAAAGTTGGGATTTGAATACCACTTGAACTAGTATCAATTATCTCCAAGCTTCTAATAGAAAATGTCAGCAACATCTTACAGAAAACTAAAACTCATTTACTGTTGAATTATGTCAAATGACTGCAGAGGGGTGAAGGTATATGATAATCAAGTCACTCTTAACCACACAGAAATATCAAAGCTAGAGAACGAATACCATCATATTCAATGACCTTAGAAAACCACTCCATTTGCTGCTGGTAGGTGGTGCAGAAGCTTTAAGCAAACAATCAGTAAATTGAGCAATAGTACTCTGAATCCTGTGTGTAATGATGTGTGAAGGATCGTGACGACTTGGATGCTTGTCAACCATTATATATGAGCATGGAAAGCAATCTTCTAGCATCTGAGAAATACGCTTGCTTGTTATCCGACTTCCAATCTGTTATTTAGAATCTAAAAAATGACAGTTAATTCATATAATTTAAAAAGTAAAATGCCAATGTAAAGGCAGTGTTTTAACATACAAATACGAATGTCCATTACAAGAAGTAATGCGTCATAGTTCATCACTGCATTTTTGAATTCTTAAATTTTTACCCAACTTAGAACATTCCCATTTGAATCTCACATGTAGGAAACATCTTCTACCACAAAAATCTAACATATGCAACACATTAATCTATGCTTCCCTATGAAGCGCGGATACGGATATAAATACGGATACGGATATGGATATGGATATGTAATATTAATACGGACACGAGATACGGATACGACAATACGGTAAAATCTAAAAAAACAAGATATGGGTAAAACTAGGATACATCCATACAATATATTTTTTTTTTTTAAAAATGTATTAATATAATAATTATGATTTATAAAGTGAATCACATATCTATCAAAGATATATAATAATAACTAACCATTCTATCATTCAGAAATCATACATTCACAAATTTTTCTCTTTTTTTTTTTTTTTTTACAAATAAGGGCTCAAACATATTTGCTTTGGCGTCCCTATTTTTTAAAAAAAATTCAAGTAATACCCTGTCATATACCAAACGTATACCCGGCATATCGTGAAGTATTCGAAATTCAAATTTATTTTTTTAAATTCTAGGATACTTCCCAACCATATCGGATACGTATCCAGCTGTATCGAACGCGTATCCTTATCTGGAAAGTATCTAATGCCGACACTTTGACCCTTTTGTAGTATCCGTACTTCATAGATGATTCCATTTCCATATAATGGCAATACCATTTGGGTGGAGCTACTGCAAAAAGTTTTTGACAAAGCGGATAACAAAGGACAAAAAAAAATCATTGTTTCTAAGTGTAGAGAAAAATTCTACATTCACATAGAAAAGGAAGAAAAATTTTCAAAATATTGTATTATTGACTGAATAAGTTACATAGGGTAATATATATAGAAACGGCCAAAATCCTAATAGTCCCATCGTTTTGANGCTTAATTGTTGTGTTAGACAACTAGTTCTCTAATAAACAAGCAAGATTCATGTCACCAATGTCGCTCAGTATCTCTCAGCATCTTTTGATATGGACACACTTATGCATTGGAATATTTCTCACAGTGTTGTTCAGCATATTTCAGCATCTTTTGATGTGGACTCACTTATCCATCACCATATTTTGCCCACTGCCTTTTCAAACAATCAATAGTGAAGTAAACCAAGTCTATAATCACTTCTCTTGTCTTTTGGCCATGTCATTGCCATGATTCATGAATGTGTGACGGGGCAATACATTCTAAGAAGGATAATTCCAAAGTCCACCTTAATAAGTGTAAGTTAAAGCATCCAACCAAATCAATTGGCTATGCGTGGAATAGCCCCTCAAGTATATAACCCAACTTTAGGCGCACTTAATTTTTAGACATGGAATACAAGCTCTCTTCACACATGGGCTAATAAATTGAACTGAAACCAACAATAAACATACTGGAACTAAGCTAAAACAAACTGATAAACATATCAAAGAATTCAAGTAGGTAAGAGACTTGGCCTACTAACAACCCAAGGCCCAACTCTGATATCATGCTAGAGCGTATAACCCAAATCCAATTGATTATGAGAGAAGTAACCTCTCAAATATATAAACCAACCTTGGGTGCACTAAATTTTGCGATGTGGGATACAAGCTCTCTTCACAATAAAGAAATAGCATATTAGAAATAGCTTAGCTAGTACCTCTAGCCCTCGTAATATTTGTTAAATAGTATCTAGTCATTCAAATAATAAGGTGGCAAGTTTTGCATGACATGTACAGGTGTTTCGTCAATAATAGCTGCCACATAGTTTGTGTGGTAAGTGGCAATGGCATGCAGGACTTGTTAATAAAAATGATGTATGCTTTAGCTTATATGAGGGAAGTGACGAAGTGGCCCCAACTTATCTACTAACAGAGATGTCATAAAAGCAACATAAAATTAAGGAAATGTGTAGAAGTTTGATTCGAACTTCTGCATCTGCTAATAGTGGAACCAACAAAGTTGTATTCTAGAATTAACTCTTCCATAACATATCCCTACAAAGTTGGGATTTGAATACCACTTGAACTAGTATCAATTATCTCCAAGCTTCTAATAGAAAATGTCAGCAACATCTTACAGAAAACTAAAACTCATTTACTGTTGAATTATGTCAAATGACTGCAGAGGGGTGAAGGTATATGATAATCAAGTCACTCTTAACCACACAGAAATATCAAAGCTAGAGAACGAATACCATCATATTCAATGACCTTAGAAAACCACTCCATTTGCTGCTGGTAGGTGGTGCAGAAGCTTTAAGCAAACAATCAGTAAATTGAGCAATAGTACTCTGAATCCTGTGTGTAATGATGTGTGAAGGATCGTGACGACTTGGATGCTTGTCAACCATTATATATGAGCATGGAAAGCAATCTTCTAGCATCTGAGAAATACGCTTGCTTGTTATCCGACTTCCAATCTGTTATTTAGAATCTAAAAAATGACAGTTAATTCATATAATTTAAAAAGTAAAATGCCAATGTAAAGGCAGTGTTTTAACATACAAATACGAATGTCCATTACAAGAAGTAATGCGTCATAGTTCATCACTGCATTTTTGAATTCTTAAATTTTTACCCAACTTAGAACATTCCCATTTGAATCTCACATGTAGGAAACATCTTCTACCACAAAAATCTAACATATGCAACACATTAATCTATGCTTCCCTATGAAGCGCGGATACGGATATAAATACGGATACGGATATGGATATGGATATGTAATATTAATACGGACACGAGATACGGATACGACAATACGGTAAAATCTAAAAAAACAAGATATGGGTAAAACTAGGATACATCCATACAATATATTTTTTTTTTTTTAAAATGTATTAATATAATAATTATGATTTATAAAGTGAATCACATATCTATCAAAGATATATAATAATAACTAACCATTCTATCATTCAGAAATCATACATTCACAAATTTTTCTCTTTTTTTTTTTTTTATAACAAATAAGGGCTCAAACATATGTGCTTTGGCGTCCCTATTTTTTAAAAAAAATTCAAGTAATACCCTGTCATATACCAAACGTATACCCGGCATATCGTGAAGTATTCGAAATTCAAATTTATTTTTTTAAATTCTAGGATACTTCCCAACCATATCGGATACGTATCCAGCTGTATCGAACGCGTATCCTTATCTGGAAAGTATCTAATGCCGACACTTTGACCCTTTTGTAGTATCCGTACTTCATAGATGATTCCATTTCCATATAATGGCAATACCATTTGGGTGGAGCTACTGCAAAAAGTTTTTGACAAAGCGGATAACAAAGGACAAAAAAAAATCATTGTTTCTAAGTGTAGAGAAAAATTCTACATTCACATAGAAAAGGAAGAAAAATTTTCAAAATATTGTATTATTGACTGAATAAGTTACATAGGGTAATATATATAGAAACGGCCAAAATCCTNCTGTTTCTAAGTGTAGAGAAAAATTCTACATTCACATAGAAAAGGAAGAAAAATTTTCAAAATATTGTATTATTGACTGAATAAATTACATAGGGTAATATATATAGAAACGGCCAAAATCCTAATAGTCCCATCGTTTTGAGGGCCTAAACAATGGAATTTGGACCAAACTATGGAGCTCACGGCGAAGNTTACATAGGGTAATATATATAGAAACGGCCAAAATCCTAATAGTCCCATCGTTTTGAGGGCCTAAACAATGGAATTTGGACCAAACTATGGAGCTCACGGCGAAGCGATGAGTTTTAATCGTTGGCCCGATCCGGATCAAGTGGCACTAGTCCCACTTAATTCCGAGTCCAATCCATTTTGCCTTTATTATAACTTTTTTGGCCTTCTGTTGCGCTTTGGACACGCAATGGTCTTCTCGCTCCAAGTACTCTATTGCCACCTGTTCTACATCAGTTTCTCATTGAAATCACTTATAAGTCTTCAGGCTAATTTTAAATTGCTTGTGCTCATGTTTCCATGTGCTCTGGGGTTGTTTCCCACTTGAATCTTCATTATCATTTCTTCTTTCATTCCCCAATTGAAGTCAATATATTTTAAACAATTAGTTCACAATCAACTAGAAAACATACAATAACCTACCACTGGGCAACAACTATTCCAAATCTGGTTACTTGTGCTGCAACTTGCATATAGCTACCAGGTGTACAGAAAATACAAGCAGCTTAGTGCTCACTTTCATTATACTGCAGGCATTAGGAAGCTGAATAAAAGAGAAACATACAATAACCTGCTATTCGACACCATTTGTTATATTCAACATAGTAATAATAATCTTTATATTTTGTTCTCACAAACATTAAGGGAAAAGGAAGGGATGGAAAAATAAAGTGATAAAAAACGAAAGGAAAGAAGGCCACATGAAAAAATTTGAATTCCTTTTCTCAATTTTTTTCCTCAGGTTCGCAAAGTATTTAATTTTTCTTAGGCAAAAAGTTCTTAGAAATTATGGAAAATCTTTACCCACTCCCAACCCCTCATTTTCCTTCCTTCTCAGTTTTTCAACACAACCAAAAAAGGCAAAATGAATGAAGTTCCACATTGCTTTCTTTCTGCTGTTGTTCAAGGCTTCCGAGTTTCAAAGGGATCCCAAAAGATTCTTTGAAGTAAAAGCAGATTGGATGAAATTAAAGAGATGAAACAAAAATATACCTGGACGATAACATCNGAGGCTTCCGAGTTTCAAAGGGATCCCAAAAGATTCTTTGAAGTAAGCAGATTGGATGAAATTAAAGAGATGAAACAAAAATATACCTGGACGATAACATCAGGTTGCACCCAGTCCTTGACTGAATTTGAGAGAAGTAAATGATCAAGATGATCAACGAATAAAATATTCTCTTCAAATCCAGAGAAAGANTCAGGTTGCACCCAGTCCTTGACTGAATTTGAGAGAAGTAAATGATCAAGATGATCAACGAATAAAATATTCTCTTCAAATCCAGAGAAAGAAGTAAGATACTTTCTCAACCTTAAACCTGACAAGACGTCAGCTATAACTGGCCACAAAAGTTGTTTAGCCAAGAGAAGAGCTGCCCATATGTCATCCTCTGTATGTAATGCCCCAATCAATAGCAGCCCTCGATTTGCACCGTGTATCATTGTTAAAACTTGTGCCATATGGCCTTGAGCATCATTGCGTGCAAAAGAATGTTGCAGTTGGATATAGCTTGTAAATGGTTCAGCACTTGACATCCAAAAATCTAACCCTTGTAAACAGCTCAACATCCACTTTCTGGAACTATTTTCAAGCGGTTCCCTAAAAGGGCAGTTGATATGAACAGGACCACATGGTGAAGCGGTTGCCATATAAACAGCAGAATCAAGTGTTGTAAGTACCATCCTAGCAGGAATAGTATCCGTGGCTGCAGGAAGACTGCAGAAATGCCTCACAAACATACCAAAATGGTTTACCTGATGTACAAAATTCAAAGACATGGTTCACAGGGGAAAAATAGAAATTAACAGCGAAATATCCTATATTATTATTCATAACATGTTGCTCAATCAAGAGTGACACGAAGTAATTATGTAGATGCACAAGTATGGCCATACGACAATACCAATGCATGATTGCTAGTCCTGTGTAACATGGATGAAGCTCATCCTGTCACAGATTGCTAGTCAATCTGCTATTTTACGTCTTGTAGCACATATAGCAACATCCTTTAACTTAATTTTCACCTTGCTGAAAAGGACATTTTGAGCGACACAGAAAAAAAATTAAAGAAGAGAAAGGTTTTTTTATATATACCAAAATTTCTGAAGAATTTCATAATATGACAAAGATTGGGAATAATAAAGTAAAGGAAAACAAGACATAAAGATATACATGGTTCGGCACATGTGCCTACACCCACGGACCAAATGCCCCAAAGAACTACATCAATGTTTATTCAGTGGAAGTTGATTACTCGGGGCTCAACCCTATTTATTGGGTGAGAATTATATGATAAGGATACGTATCGCATAGGTCTATCATCATTTGTATTTATCATGACAACTTGGATATCGATGGTCTCTTAGTTCTTATCGTATCTCCCCCAAGATGTTGATAGATTTCTTTTGATCCTATCATATCTTTAATACTCTTCCTCAAGTTGGTACACTGAAGAGAGCAGTTGAAGTGTCCAACTTGAATTGAAACAAGGAATGATTGCTTGGCAATCGAATGATGTAGCTTTGGTAATAAAACTCCTCCTCAAACTCCCCCTTAAAGATAAAAATTCTGCTTCTTATGAACCTTTTTTTTTTGCCTTTTTTATCTGCTTNTCCTCCTCAAACTCCCCCTTAAAGATAAAAATTCTGCTTCTTATGAACCTTTTTTTTTTGCCTTTTTTATCTGCTTTTTGTTTTTCTCTTTGCTTTTGTTTTGCTCCTCTTTCCAGACTCTCTCATCTCGATTGTTCCTCACTATGTTCCTCTACGCAATCTGAGGTTGCCTTTACGCTGACAATATTTAGATTTCACAACGCCATTACAAGATAGTATGGCAAGTGTTGTAGCCGATTTATAAAAAGATGGTACTTCTCTCTTGCAAGCTTTTCACATATTGACTTTTCATCAATGTAGACCGAAGGAGCAACCAATGCTTAGAGGCCAAACAATGGATTTACTTGTCAAAAGTGTATGCCTTCTCATTTAGAGCTTTTGATGGGGAATGGCTAGCACTTTGTGAAGGGAAAAAGTCCTGGAGTTGGAGTAAGTGACAAAGAGATTAGTGAGAAAGTGACAAACAAAGAAATGAAGCACTAATGATGTTTTGATTTGTTGGTCACCAAACGGAATTGTGTAGCGGAATTCGGTGGCTAAACAAAACAAGGATGGATCGACCCACTCTGATATCATGAAGAATTTCATAATTTGAGAAAGATTGGGAATAATAAAACAAAAGAAAGCATGACACAAAGATATACGTGGTTCGGCACATGTGCCTACATCCACATGCCAAATGCCCCAAAGAGCTACATCAATGTTTATTCAGCGGTAGTTAATTACATAATGCTTAACCCTATTTATAGGTTAAAAACTATCGCACATGTCTATCATCTTTAATATCTATCAAAACTACCAGAATATCGATGGTCTCTTTAGATGCTATCATATCTCTACCTAGATATTGATGGATTTCTTTTGATCTTATTATATCTCTAATAATTTCTAACACTAGAAAGTTGTTACTTCAAAATTCCCAAAAAAAAAAAAATTGAAACTCTCACTCATTATAAGAGGATGTCTTCCTTACCCATCATCCAAACTTCAAATCAAGGGAGAGAGAATTCTAATTCTGGAGTCTGGACTAAACCTTGAAAGCATAAATCCAAATCCTAAAGTTGGAAACTAGACCACCAAGATAGTTTTAAACCCTGAATTTGCTACCAAATTAGGCAAAGCATTCTTGGATGTTATAAATGAACCAGCAAAGGTTATTAGAGCATCTTAAAACCATTAGCATGATAAACCTAGGGCGTCAAAGAGGCTGATAAACATTAAAAATCCAAGAATATGTTCAATCATAAAGAAAAAAAGACCTTGCAAAAAATAAAAGAAAAGAAAAGTTTTTTTTCCTGGAAAAGAGAAGTTGTTGTGAACATTCTTATCAAAAAAAAAAATTGCTAATATAAAGGGGTTTCTGATGTACAAATTGTTTAACTTTGTTACAACAGCAGGAAATGCTCAACAGATTTAACAACATNCCATTCACATCAAAAAAAAAATTGCTAATATAAAGGGGTTTCTGATGTACAAATTGTTTAACTTTGTTNACATTCTTATCAAAAAAAAAAATTGCTAATATAAAGGGGTTTCTGATGTACAAATTGTTTAACTTTGTTACAACAGCAGGAAATGCTCAACAGATTTAACAACATCGAAAATTTAACGAATCCATTTTTTATTGGCACCCATTAACTGCCAGACCCTTCCCCGAAAGATCCTTTATTTAGCACACTTGAAAAGTAAAGATAAAGATGTTCAGTACCTCTAGAAGTGATAAAACATGATCTGAAACAACAATTACCATAAAGTACACATCATCCTACAAGTAGCATAGCACAATGAAGTGTTTGGTCAGTAGTGCAACAGGATAAGAAAAAACCAAAGCACCTGATTAATGGCTTGGTTTGCTCCAGAATCTTGCAGCTCTGGAGGACGATCTGCAGTGAGTAATAGAAGAGGTACAAAATCTTGACTAGCCTCCACAACCTGTACATTATCATTCGACAAATGTTGGAGTAAAGATAAAAACTAAGAAACATATATCAAAATTAAGATCAAAATAACTTGAGAAAACTGAGCAATTCACTTCAAACAGGACAAAAGAAAGAACTTACATTATCACTCCTAGGAAAGCACAGTAAAATTCACTATCATGAGACACAGTCACCACAGAGGCTGACAATTAGATCAGTTTTAAAAATAAAAAAGAAGGATAAGATCTACCTGAAGGCTACGTAGGTTTAAGTGCAAGAGAAAGACAAACATGATGACAATACAGAATTGGAAAATTGATGAAAAGATTCACATGTAACAGAATGTCCATCAGCAGCTAATATACAAAAACAGTGAATAATCATGAAACTTATATAAATCTCACCGCAGGTAGAAGATTTGAAACTGCGGTGCCTGATGATGTTATGACTACTGCAGGTTTACGAGAACCTCTGCCATAACCAACAGCATGAAATGCGAGTGAACGCTCATCGAAGCATGCTATACAAGTCGTAAGGGGATGAGTAGAAGCAGCAATGGCAAGGGGAGATGACCGTGATCCTGGAGCTACACAAAAATACTAGATGAAACGTAATCAGAAACATGTATGCCAGCAGAGACAAAATATATTATCAACACTTTGTCTCACCGTCAAACCAAGTCGAGAGCATTCTTCAACTATAAGTGATGCCCACAAGGTATTAATATTGGCACAATCTTGCAAAGAGTAACTTATTCCACTGAAAAAAGCAAGCCGATACTGGAAAACAGAAAAACATTCTGAATATCTTAAGTTTCGTTTAGTTCTAAAATGTTAGCATATATATTAGGTTAAAGAATAAAACAAAAACAGATACACCATGTTATAATGCAGCATTCTCAAAGCAAAGCAACAATTCTAGAGGAAAGAAAAGATAGCAATCATAAAAACGAAATAATTTTGTGTTGCAACCACAAAATACTCAATTGCATGGATGAAAAAAAACTGGACAAATTTAAATAAATGGATCACAACTTGACAAAATAATTACTAGGCCTGTCAAAATTCAACACAACACGATTAACCGACACGAATCAACACGGATTAAGCGGGTTTGGGAGAGACCTTAACAGGTTCGGGTGATAAACAGGTTGACCAGTTTAACACGTTTAATAAACGGGTTGTATTCAGGTGAGACATGTCAACCCGTTTAAATAAAATTAATATAATAATAAATTAATAATTATTNTAGTTTAACACGTTTAATAAACAGGTCGTATTCAGGTGAGACATGTGAGACATGTCAACCCGTTTAAATAAAATTAATATAATAATAAATTAATAATTATTTTAAAAAAATTATCCAATTTTTTTTTTTAATGACAATACATAGAAAATATATAAAGTTATTTTTCCCAAATCCTAATCTAATTCCATCTACACTGAACAGCTGAATCTTTGGACCTTTGGTGTTGCGCCTCCTCCAGGCCCNTCCAATTTTTTTTTTTAATGACAATACATAGAAAATATATAAAGTTATTTTTCCCAAATCCTAATCTAATTTCATCTACACTGAACAGCTGAATCTTTGGACCTTTGGTGTTGCGCCTCCTCCAGGCCCCTCCACTGTTTCTCTCTTTCTTTCTCTCTCTCTCCCTCCGACCTTTGGTGTTGCTCCTCTCTCCATCTACGCTGAACCGAGCGGCTGAAAGTTGAATCGCTAACCACGATAAATCTTTAGACATTTCAGATATTAGATCGGTATTGCCTCTGTATTTTAGATCTGTACTAGATTTGTATTTANGACCTTTGGTGTTGCTCCTCTCTCCATCTACGCTGAACCGAGCGGCTGAAAGTTGAATCGCTGACCACGATAAATCTTTAGACATTTCAGATATTAGATCGGTATTGCCTCTGTATTTTAGATCTGTACTAGATTTGTATTTATACCCAACAATGATGGCGTTTTAGATCTGTATTGATTTTAGATCTGTATTTATACCCAACAATGATATTGTTTGGTACTCGTATTAAATCTGTATTTGTATTGGGGTGCTTCATCCTCCACGTTTTTTTGTTGTGTGTGTGATCATAGGAGAGAACTGAGAAGTCTGTGTCAAAATACAATCTACATTCTATTAAATTGTTGTTAGCCCCAGTTAGTGTACTGTTGATTCTTTAATTTGTAATTTCAACAGCTAACTGCTTGATAATTATAACAATCAATGCCAACGAGCAGCCTTATCACAAAGGCACTTATCTCACCCAAACAATAGATTTGATGATGTGAAAATTTGATCGATCAAGAGTAGTTCGATTTCTAGTCTACAAGACACTAATAAAGATCTGCTTACCTAAGCATGGGAATTGAGCATGATGAATAAAGTTACAAGCAGAGGAGCGAACATGATGGAAGCATACTTTGTTCTTGGAGGGTCATGATGTAATATTTACGACTACGATTCTTCAAAGATTAATGTGTCCTTATGATTTTCTAGCATCTTTGACATAAAACAAGATTAAACTTGATTAGTCTCTTCAGGATTTTTGTTTTTCATTATTGAACTATTGTTATAACCGCTTAATATGTGCCTCTGATCTGACTCCATATGAATTGATGCAGATTTTGTAGCTCAGATTATCAGGGGGAACTCCATATCTGAAATTTCCTCCTTCTAATTCACTTAAGTCCATCTGTTTATATAAGTAAAATTCAAAACATTTAGTAGCTGCACAAATTTATTGTATCAGTTTATACTGTTTATTTTTTCTTATCTATTTATATTGTTTGTCTAGTTATGAGTCTATTTAATTATTAATGGTATATAATATTTCATTTTAATTTGTGTAGGGCATGAGAATTTGGTTGTTGAATCTGCTCGTTGTCGTGGAGGTGGAGATTTGATCTCTTTCACAGGACTTTGTGAATCATGGAATTTGTGGTTGTTTGAAATTGTGATTTGTAATATGATTGTTATTTGGTGTCATTGTGTTATTTTGGATTGTATTTATGATTTGTAATATGGTTGTCGGTAGAATTTGGTTATTTTGGATTGTAGTTTGTATTTTGTAATACGGTGTAGTATATCTCTAAATGTCACATTTATTTGTGTTAGTTTGTTAGTTTTATAAAGTTATATAGCATTTTTAAATAAACAGGTAAATGGGTCAAACGAGTGGTTTACCATGTTAAATGGGTCAAATAGGTGGTAAATAGGTAAATGGATCAAACGAGTGGTTTAGCGTGTTAACCCGACCCAACCCGATTTGTTTAAAATTAGATGTATTAAACAAGTCGTGTCGTGTTACCCGTTTATTAAATGGTTCGTGTTCATGTTTCGATTTTTTACCCGTTTATTAAACGTGTCATGTACGGGTTTACATATTATTCACCCATCACCTGTTTAACCCGACACGTTTGACACCCCTAATAATTATGATAGAATTACATGAATGGGAAAACTGGGGGCGGTACACAATATGAGACTTATTAGGAAAAAAGTACACCTTTTAAAAATATTTGTAAAGAAGTCCACCCGCTATAACTAAAGTTCAAAATAACCTTTTTAAAAGTTGAGGAATTTCCTTCCCTAACTAAGGAAACCAGCAAAAAGATAGCCAAGAGACAACAAATACTCTGTCTTCTCCACTATTGGTGCTGGAGTTTGCATGATTTGAGGATACAATTTTGAAATTCAAATGGTGTTCACATTATCTATCCCAAACTCCATTCTCTCATTACTACCACATTACAAAGAAGGGTGTCAAAGAAATCCATTATTTTTAAGACTTTCCCTGTGACACATCGTTGGACTCACCGGGAAGAAAACGAGGGTTTCACTATGAAAAAAATGAGGGTTTCTTCTTACTACGAAGAAATTGAAGGATTTCACAATAAAGAACACACACAGCCACCTATCTTTTTTAACATATATTTTTCATCATGTCGATAACTAATCAATTGCTAAAAATGGCAGAAAAATTATGTAAAAACAGTGTGATATTATTACTATTGCTAGTGCTAATATCACCCTGCAATAGTGATAATGTCACAATAGTTATAATGTCACACTGCAATAGTTATAATATCATACTGCACAGTTATAATGTCAACCAGCAATAGTGATAATGTCTAATTATATCATAAAATGATATGTGAAGTCCACAAAAAAAATAGGAAACTGAATCCCAAGTGATATTGTGGGATAACTACAAGAAGATATAGTTCAAAATTCAAACGTGTTGTCCCAAAAAAATAGAAAATTGAATCTCACAATTCAGTGTCTAAAAAATCGTCCATGATTAATGAAAAAGGACAATTATGTAAATAAAATATTTAGAAAACAACAAATGTGTATCTACTCACAACACATTCCTAAAAAAAAAAAGACTTATACACAAAAGAGAATTTGTATGGTACTTTCCCACAAATAAGTAGTATATAGTGTACCTATCCACAATTTTCCCTACATGAATTTGTTTCCAGTTATGTCTGACTAAATTGGATAGAATATCTTTCAAAGCCTTTTGAAGGATGGTAGGCAGCATGTTCTGGATGGAAATCGTCTTACACAGCCTTATATATCATTTTTCAAAACTACTCCACCAAAGACCCAAAAATTTGAAAATAACAGAAAAATAACATATCCATTCAACTATCATTTGTGTACTCGCATCCACATGGATTATGTTCCAATTAATCCATTTGTGAACTAATCTTAACAGTTGTCATGCTTGGCGAAGTCCTCTACTGATTCATCTCAACATCCTCACCTTGACTCAAGTCTTCAGACATTCTTGACATAACTTCCAAACAATCTTCCCAACAATGTATGACATGCAGCACTGTTGTTTTCAAAAATATTTCTGCTAAATTATGCAAAGTATGACATTTGTTGATGGTACAGCCTGCGTTTCTAAGAAAAACCTTGCCCTTGCAGAAGCTGGGTCAAATTCCACTTTACTCCTTACAAAATTCAGTAAATGTTGGTTAATCCAAAGAGAAGGGTAAAAACATGTTCAAGCATGGATTGTAATAGAACGAAAGCCAGAGTCCAAAAGTTGTTCTACTGGTCTAGCTATTTGGCTCATTTGAAGCTTGTTAAAGTGTTTACTATAGCTTGTTAAAAGACCCTAATTGACTTGGGCAGAAATATACGTGTCTTGGTGGTACATTGCACCAAGGCACTCTATGACTTTGAGACAAGGTGAAGTAGCTAAGGAGTTCGACAAAAACTTCAGGCACTATGCCCGAGGCTCAGGTCATTATGCTTGCTCAGTTTAGTTGATATCCGTTCACGTCCCTTTTGAAAACCTTTTAAGAGCATATATAGGGGGTGGTGATAGTTGAGGGACACCAAGGGTCTGGCAAGCCCTGGTATCGCTGGACACGACATGTAGTAAGGTCCTTGCCACGGATGAGACAAGGTGGACAAGGGAGACGTAAGATAATGGCAGGACCGGAAAAGTTGTGGGACTGATAGCTATGAAAGACCATGAGGCTGAGGATGTCAGCACATAGTGGGCACAATTGAGACAATGTTGGTGCATGGCGCGGACTTGGTTCAACATGCTTAATTGGTTCGTACGCAAGGCTTGGCTGTGGATTTGCAGGCACATGGCAGGATAGGTCTGCTCAATGCATGGAACCAAGCAACTGAGAGCGGTTGTTGTGCATGACCTGATCATGGG